CATAACAAAAGATCTTGAGAGGCACCTTACCAACGATATAAGGTGGCCAATAAATATAGAGAAAAGCGATCTACCAACTAGCCATCAGGCAAATTCAAACAGCAAGGAGACCCCGCTGCTCGTCTATCAGATTCGGGGTGAGGTGTCAATCAGAAACAAAAACCTAACAATAACTGTATTGATAAGAATGTGGAAAAACAGGAGCTCTCACACTCGGAGAGCAGCGCTTGGTGAATCACTTTCTGAATCAGCTCGACCTCATATAATAAAATTTAACACACTCACAACTCCATCTTTGCTAAGGGCGGGAATAGGTCTGTAATAGGTCTCAGAGAGCAGGTCTCTAAATCGCCCCCACTCTCTGGCTTTTCAAGGATATTCGAACAGGTCCTGGACCCTTTGAAGACAAGAGAGCCCTAGAAAATTACCTCCTAGAAGTTGTGTAGGAGCACCTATTAAATATTGGTGGTAAATACCAGGCGACGAGAGTGGCTACCCTGGTACATGTTACAAGGGGCAGGTGGGTGTGGCTTGCCCTCCTACGTCCCCTCTGAGCTTCAGTTTAATTAGGGGATAAACACAATAATCAGAATGCTTCAGAGAGAAAAAGCTAATCGGGAAATTCTGACCAAATAGGACTTCCCTTGTTCTGCAGCTGAACTTTCTCAGACTCAGACAGGGTAGGGAAGCTGCCCATCTCATCCGGAGCTCTGCTCAGGCCTGGCGGGGGAGGGTGCGCCCAGCATTCAGAAAATAATCTCATAGCACTGAAACCAGTTCACCCACCCAGGTCCTCTTCCCAGACACACGCACTACCACCACCACCACCAGATGTCACCGCCCGGTCACGGGGAAGGAGTCAGAGGACCCCAGGAAGCCTGCAGGCAGCTTTTAGATTTCCCAAGTGTTACCAAAGTATGGCTTTGGCTGGATGAGGAGAGAAGGAGGTAGAGTGACTGGAAGTGTAGCAGACGGAAGATCATTTGCTGAATCATTAGCCAAATTTGGGTACCATTTGCCACGAAGAAAAAAAAATAGAGTGCAACATCGATTCTTTCATCCAGAACAAATTTGGAACTGGATTATTAGATTTTTCAGCAGAAAATCTGGAATAGAGTATGTCTCCTAATAGACTGTGGCTGTCATAGTAAAAATAAGAAACAGTAATTTATTTAAATTGTTTTTGATATCTATAAAATGTAATTGCTGGACACAAACAAGTGTCAATTAAAGAATGTTTTAAGACTATGGTATGAGCTAGAGAAATCATTCCTAAAATTTATTTGGAACAAGAAAAAACCTAGAATAGCAAAGGCAATCCTGGGCAATAAGGACAAGGCAGGAGGCATTACAATTCCTGACTTGAATTTATACCACAAGGCTACTGTGATAAAATCAACATGGTACTAGCAACAAAATAAACCTGAGGATCAATGGAATAGATTAGAAGGCGCTGAAGCTCCTACGAACACACTCAGCCACCTTATCTTTGACAAAGGGGCCAAACATACTCAGTGGAAGAAGGATAGCCTCTTCAACAAATGGTGCTGGAAAAACTGGCTCTCTATATGCTGAAAACTAAAACTTGACCCAGGTCTATCACCATGTACTAAGCTAAAGTCAAAATGGATTAAAGATCTAAA